CTGGGTGCTGGGGCATCCGTATGGAGACCCCTGCCAGCGCTGAGATGCTTACACATTCACTGATTCAGCTTTCCTCCTGCAGTTGGCATCATTGCATGTGTTTTGTGAGATGGAGGACTTTGTGGATTGGTGTTGGACATATGGGTTATTGGGTTAATGTTTGGACTTGTAGGCTTAGGCAGCACTGGGTTGGGATGTTTTCTTGATGTGTACTTAACCTTTATATAAAACTCTCTCTTATACATGAGTTTCTGTGGATTTGTTTCTCTAAAGTACCCAGACTATCATAGGTTCTCTCTATGGATTGGCTGCTTTGAGCGGGAATATCGTCCTGAAGGCTTGGTGGGCCAGAATGTGCTCCACTCTCTCTTCCTCCCCCCTCGTTTGCTCCAATGTGCTCTCATCAGACATGTCCCTCTCCCTGAGCTGTAGCTTCAGTGCTGTCCTCTGAAATAAATTCTTCTGGGGGCAGGGGAGGTCTGTCCACATAGTTGGGACTGGAGCCGGCCCCTCAGACCTCTTTATTGGTTCCGTGTTTCATGCCAGTATGTTGCATTCACATCTTGAAGCACTGGGTTGAAGTCTTGTCCCTCTTTCCCTGTGGAGATATAACAATACCCTCCCCTTGGGTGGGTTAGTGTGCTGTTCCCCCGCTACCCATGTCTTTTTTCCCCTTTATTCCCCCTCCTTTTTAGTTGGCTACCACATGTATCCCTGGATTTGGTTTGGCACCTGCCATACTACCTGGACCTCACCCAGGAATGTTTGTATGCAGTCGCTTTTTCCCTATGCCTTTTGATTTTTTTTTTAAGATGACCTCAGTGGATATGTTGCACTTGTCCTTTTAAATATTCTTCTATGCATGATGATGTCCCTGCCCATGTGGCGATGTGCTACTAAAGTTCATCATCTTACATTGTGGGGGGAGGTCAGATGCGCAGGCATTCCCCCCACTGAGGGCAATCAGTTGCCAGACTGCTGTCTAATTCCACCACAAGGGTGGGCCTGCTCCCTGCCTCTGGGGACAATGGACAGGCTCCTGTTGGCAGAGTTTTCACCCTACTGATAATGGTTCCTATGGAGACCCAGAGACCACCCCCTCATTACTGTGTAACCTATAGTGTAACCCCTCCCTGTGACGTAT